TTTTTATCAGTTTCTCCTCTTATGTGAGGGTGATTTCTGTGCTTTTGAAAATTATGGTAGTTTTTAGAATGCATATATCTCTAGTGATCAAGGGTATGCTATCTATAGTCCAATGCAGTAAAATTTTGAGGTGGGGTATCACTACGAGCAGTTTTGCGCATGTGTGACTGACTGGCCATGCATGTTTCTTGAATCACTTTTCGATTTTATAATTCTAGAATGCATATATTATTTTCTTCTTGAAATTAATCTCTTATTGACACCAGTGGTACTTTGCAGGTTTTCGTGAGCACTTGAAACGGGGTAAGTTTGATTACCACCAGTTTTTGTACTGTATTAGAATTTTCTTAATGGTAGTTAATGTTGTGAGTTTTTAAATGGTAGTTGATGATGTGAGTTGCACCTAAATCATTTCTCCATTGATTCTGATTTCACGCAGGTTTCATACGAGCGGCCAAGATCACTGGTAAGTCTTTTTCAAGAACATAAAAGGTTAAATTAACTTGGAAAGAACATAGAATAAGGAAAAAAGTGCATCAAAGCATTTAGACATATAGAGATCAAGATTCCAGATTGAACTTTAAGAACCTGCTTGTGTTGTTATTATGGCAGGATTGAGTCTGATGGCACGAATGGTACTCGGCATTATTTTTCTGTTGGCTTTCTGGAGCTACAAACTGTATTGGAAAAAGTTCCTAAAGGATGATGCAGTTGAGAAATTCTCGGCTGTATGCAATGATCTTATGAGAAGAAGGTACTCATGTTCAGATATTAAGAAGATGACCATTGATTTCAAAATTAAACTCAGTCAGGGAGCGTACTGGAAAAAGTTCATAAAGGATGATGCAGTTGAAGAGTTCCTGGATGCATACAAGAACCTTATGCCGAGAAGGTATTCCTATTCAGATATTAAGAAGATGACAAATGATTTTAAAGATAAACTGGGCCAAGGAGGCTTTGGCTCTGTTTTCAAAGGAGAGCTGTCAAATGGTCATCTTGTTGCAGTAAAGATGTTGAGTGGCTCCAAAGGTAAAGGCCAAGATTTCATCAATGAAGTTGCCACAATAGGAAGAATTCATCATGTCAATGTGGTGCAGCTGATTGGATTTTGTTCTCAAGGGTCAAAAAGAGCTCTTGTTTATGACTTCATGCCTAATGGATCCCTAGACAACTATATCTTTCCTGAGAGAGGAAAAAATCTTCTTCTTGGTTGGGACAGCATGCATGAGATAGCTCTCGGGGTGGCTCGTGCAATTGAATATCTGCACCAGGGATGTGATATGCAAATTCTACATTTTGATATTAAACCCCACAACATTCTTCTTGATGAAAACTTTACTTCAAAGATTTCAGACTTCGGGCTTGCAAAATTTTACCCTAGAGATAATAACACTGTTTCTCTTACTGCTGTAAGAGGCACCATGGGATATATGGCTCCAGAAATGTTCTACAGATCCATTGGAGGCGTTTCATACAAAGCTGACGTTTATAGCTTTGGAATGTTGTTATTGGAAATGACAGGACGTAGGAAGAACCTGAATGCACATGCGGAACATTCAAGCCAGATATATTTCCCTTCCTGGATTTATGATCAACTAGAAAAGGGATTGAGCATTGAAATTGAGGATGCTGGTGAGGATAAGAAAATAGCCAAGAAGATGGTCATGGTTGCATTGTGCTGCATACAGTTGATGCCTGTGAATCGCCCTTCTATGAGCAAAGTTATAGAGATGCTTGAAGGTGACGTCGAACTCTTGCAAATGCCTCCAAAACCTTTCTTCTGTCCACAAGAGATGCCAATGGAGGATCCACCTGATGACACAGATGTTGAAGAGGTGTCTGCCCTGTCAAATGAGAGCGCTACAGAAATGACCTCCATGGTATAAGGGGAATACAGTGCAATATTTAGTATCGTACTTTTCCACATCCTTGGAAGAACCAGAGATGCTCTGAATAGATATACTCTCTGCCCATTGTAACCCACATCTGTTGAGCATTTATAATTTCGTTGATCAGAAGCATTTTTATTTTACTCGGAAAATAAAACCTTTGGTTAATCTCAATTCTGTTCATGACCTCTTAAACTCAAATGAATGAATCATGAAACTGGATGAGAGAGATGTCGAATGCACCTTCCAACTGTGGTACCTATTTCTGACTTCAACCAATATCCCTTGACACCAAATCGTATATCAGACTACCATAATTTCTGACTTTAACAACCAAAATCCCTGAGTACACTCTATCTATGAGAAATTTCAGGGCTACAGACTCTCTTTAGAAAAGAGAAAAAAGCGGGAAGAAAGAACAAGAAGAAACATTAATGTTGAGTTTATCTTTTCATTGTCCGACCTTAGCAACCTTTCTGTGCTCAATTTGTCCTGTAAGAGGGCATTGCATCTCTGTCCAGCTTATTGGCACCATCGTTGCACCTACAATGAACAATTAGAAAACCACATATGAGCTCACATCATGTAGATTTGATAGGGTTACTAGCTAGACGCCCATGCACAGATTAGATGAGGATAAAAAACAAAAGGCTGTACAATAACAAAAGTTCATATACCTGCTGTACTCTGTGCAGAAATAACACCTAATTCGTTCTTTGCAGTTGACAGATAGTAAGCCCTAGCGTCTCCAAGGGACAGCTTATCGAAAGAATCAAGGAAACTGTTGAATATGATAATTGATATCATGAATTTCACCCAAAAGAAATATAGATATTTTGGAATGAGCATATAGCAGAATGAAGCAAAGCAGAGAAGAAAAAACTTATATTCAGAAAACAATATTAATCCTCACAAAGAAAACCTTTATTGATGGCAGTAATAAGAAATTAGCAATGGGCATGCCACTGCAAAGAATAGGATTTCTTCAATGGACTAACACCTAACGAGATTTGCATCGAGGGGAAAAGGTTGTAAAATAACTTACATCTAAGAAACACCAAGCCTTTATGTACTATTTAGTTTGGCCTCAAATTATCTTTAAATAAAAGCTGCACAGTAGTGGGATCATCAGATTGAATATTACAATCTCTTTCACCAAACAATAACCGAGACATTCCACACATAAAGGATACCACAATAGCTCGGACAATGTCACCAGGGTGAAAAGACATGTGCATATCCACTTTATCGATCTCGGTTGCTCGAACATCTTGAAGCCTGTTAATAGAACGAGCTCGGAGATTTAATGTATACTTGTAAAGTCAACAAAATAACATTTTTAAAACAGAAATACAACCACAGCCAACTTCACCAGACAAGCTACAAACTGAATGCTACAAGATAAATGCCACACCTTTGTGGTCACTGTTGAAAAGGAATGTTATGTACCTGATTATACCGGTAAATTTTTCTCGGACAGACTTAGTGCCAAGACACGTTATATCAGCAGAAGCCATTCTTGCCATAACTTTGGTAACCTACCATAATCAGAAAAATACAGGGCAAGAATTAATCAGTCCAACAATCTGCCTCCTAATTGAAGCAGGAAAGCTATGTAATCATGTTGTTGTTGATGACCCCTTACTCTAGCAATGACAATTGATCCAGGCTCTGGAATGGCACCATGGGCCTTGTGACCAGTTACTTCCACAGTGGGTCTCTACAAATCATAAAACTCAATGTCGTCAATGGAAATGCCAGGATCACCAGATCATAAAATTTATATCAAACAAAACCACAAGTTTCAAACTTTTCTCCTTAATTTGGTAAAGCACTTCACAGATTCAGAATTTAAGAGCCATGTAATACAAAAGGGTAGGGACAGTTCTTAAATGGAGAACTCATAAGTAAGTTTAGGATTGTTCATGTCTGAATTTTACATCTACTGTAATCGGTGAACATCCAATTCCAATATTAAAAAGTTGAGATTTTCAGGCCAGAATAAACCAAAAATTCAAACTTCCAAATGTTAAACTAATTTTCTCAATCTTTGTAGGTTTGTGGGTAGAGAAACAGAAGGAAAGCTGATAAGTACCTGGTCGGGTGAGTCGGGAAGGGGAGATAGGATGCGACGGAGTCCAGTGAGGGAAGCATAGACGGTGAGATTGTCAGGCGACACGTAGGCACCTCTGCCTGCTTTAAACTTGGAGGCTTTCCCAAGCACTTCCCCTGGGGTCACCCACTCACTATCTTTTCCCATTCTCAACTCAACAGCAGCGCTGCGGCAGCTCAGCCTTTCTACAAACACACACCACTTCTCTACTTGCTTAGCGGCGGGACGGACGAACGCTTGCTTTGCTTCTCTTTTCCCTTTTTTCTCTTTTAATTTTAGTTTTGGTTTTAATTTTTTAATTCACTTTCTTTCTTTCTGTATTTTATGAAAGTAGCTTGTTTTTAGTCGCATTTGACTTATAAATAGCTTTGCCTCTCAAACTCGTCAATTTTATTTCCGAATTTTTTATTTATCAATATAGCTAGCTTATAACTCTTTTCGAGATTATCAACTGGAAAATCACAAACTCTTTGTTTTATGATGTGAAACTCCCAATTCACATCTTTGTTTTTCTTTTGAATTGTAGCTCAATTTGCACCCGAATTCTTGTGTTTAATTTCCCACCACCTCTCCAATATCGTTTATATAAAGTAAAAATAAAAGCAAATATAACCCACCAGCCAGTTGGGCTCATGCTGGGCCCACCAATTATTGGGATTGAAACCTTGATTAAATTCTTAGCCCAACGTGCAGCACTTAAGCCCACTTTTTTGTCTTGGTAATGAGGCCTTGGGCCACAAAGTTTGATGGTGGTGGGTCAGCTTGGTCCGTTGACGATTGACTCGTAGACTGACATTATTACTGCCCTGGATTTATAAGCCTTTAAGCTTTAGATTTCACGTGCCCAAAGCTACAAAAAAGGAGGCCTTTTTCTAGCTGCATGCCATGCATCATGCATGATAAAATAAGCAGCTGACCAGTCAAAAGAACAAAAAAGGCATGGCAGCTGCACCTCCATAATACTCTCTCTCTCTCTCTCTCTCTCTCTCTCTCTCTCAAGTCTCAACTGCATATATGATATATAATTATATACCAAGCAATCAAGCAAGGAGATTAACATCACTTTACATTAATTTAATTCATAAAAGTAAACACACATACATACTGAATATTTCAAGTTTAGAACTGGCATGGCATGGCAGCTGCTATGTATATATATAAACCAGAAGCTCACTAGCTTTGCTCAAATGATCACTAGCTTTGCTTATTAGTAAGATCATGGCCGTTGCTCATGAAGAGTCGAATTTGTAGTGCTTATCAACGGCAACAGAGACGTCCCAAGTGCAACTAAGGCCTTTGGGGATGGTGACAAGGTCCCCTGCACCAAACTCTACAAACTCAACAACATCCTGATGATGATGATGATGATGTTGAGATGGAGATGATGAGGAGGAGGCTGCTGCTTTCTTAGGATATACCTTCACTTTTCCTTTTACCAGATAACATGTCTCTGCTGCGTCAAACTTGAGTGTGTACTTCCCAGGTGGACAACCCCATCTATAAATAATAATTACAACAATAAAAAAAATCAACAAATATACATGATCTGAAATCATATCATATAACTAATGAATTTTATGAAATTCAATCAACTTCATCACTTCAATATAACTATCTAGACAAATTATAAAAGACTAATTACTTGGGCCATGAGTTAATGCCCAACTCAGATAAGCGTGAATCAGAGGGATTGCTTTCTACTATGATTCTTAGATTGGGAAATGAATTCGCAGAATTTGATGTTGTTTCTGCTGCTGCTGCCATGAGAGAGAGAGAGAGAGAGAGAGAGAGAGAGAGGTAGGAAGAAGATGAAATGAAAGAGACTGCTGGGAGGAGCGCCTGAGAAAGGAGTTTATGGGGTAGTTGGCCTACTCGTTATATATATTAATATAGAAGAGCACGGAGGAATCTTTACATGAACTCAAAGGCAATAAACAATACAGCAAAAAGCCTAAAAAGCAAACTTCGATTTATACATTACACTAGCTTCGAAAAGAAAGGGTGAAAGGGTTGCGGGGAAAGAAAAACATATTAAAAATATATATTTTTTATCAGAGCCAGGTTTCGATCCTGGGACCTGTGGGTTATGGGCCCACCACGCTTCCGCTGCGCCACTCTGATCTGTTGATATTGAATTCACATATCATTTTATTTAACCGTTTATATTTGAGGTAGAATAATGGGCCAATTCCCATGCGCGCAGCAGCTTTGCTTGACAGAGAAATAAGCCCAACATGACAAAGGCCAGAATTATGAACAAGTAATTAAACTTGCTTAATCTGAAATTGGACGGATCCAAATATTATATCCCAAATGTAAAAAGAATGATAGTGTAATTTCTAAAATAAGGCCTTCGATCCAAAGGGTGCTACATAATGACTTCTTTTCTATTTTTATAACAATTTTAAAATAGGATTTAGGGATCTATCCCTTTTTGTTAGGCAATAATTATTTGGGTAAGACCAACAAGACCAGTATTCTGAAATGCAAATTGATGTTAATGTTAATTCATTGTATGTAAAATATCATAATTTATAGAAAGATCCTTTCTCGTACACAAATCTGACCTCGTAAGGTAATGATAAACTCGTTTTTTGGTTTCTCTACCTCGGAATCTGACATCTCTTATAAACAGTTAGACCCATCTATCGCAATGAAAACCATATCATATATAGCTTCAATTACAAGTCCTTATCTACCCTCCAACAAAGATCACAATACAACACACAAAAGATGGCTTCTTTCAAGATGGGGTTCTTCTTCATTCTATCCACTGTTGCAATATGTTAATAGTAGTACCCTCTCTCTCTCTCTCTCTCTCTCTCTCTCTCATATCCATATCATGCAAATATGGAATAAAAAATTAATAAAGGTTCGTTTGATAACCATTTCAATTTTAGTTTCTTATTTCATATTTGCATGTGATCATGGCAAATGTATTTGCCTTGGAGGCCAACCCCTCACTCCTTTTGCAGAGGTCGAAAATTCTCTTGGCATTGAGTGCCACAAAATCAAATGTCAAGGCGCCCTCAAAGTTTGTGACCATGGCAAATGCATTTGTGGTGGTGGCCAAATAGCTCTCTTGCAAAGGAGAGAAACTCTCATGTAATGGGTATAATACTTTTTGCTATTTCCAGCCAATAACGCAATGACACATATAATAACTTTTTCACGTGTCATTATGTTATTAACTGGGAATAATAAAACAGTGTTATTCCCATTATAGGTAAGGTTTTTTGCCTGCAAAGGCTCCTAACTCATCATTGGTATTTGAAGACCTCCCAATCAAATGTTCTTGTGATGATGATTGTATACCAAAAATTCCTTGTTGGACTCAACAATTTTGCGAGCATGGGATATGCACTTGTCCTTTTGGTCAACGTTAACTAATGTTTCAATTCAACTTCCTAAGTATGTAGTTGGCTCGGCCAACTTAAAAACGAATATTCTCATCTACTACTTCAATAAGTATTGCAGCTTTCTTATATAACGAATAAAAACAAAGCGCATTTCATATTTGTGTTGCTATGTTGGTTTGTTTAGTGTTGTTGAAGCAGCCACCACAAAATATCATCGTCGCCATGATATAATTGTCATTTTGATCCACATATATAAGGATTTGGCTCCTGTTTAGATTTTGAAGTCATAAAAATGGAAGTTATTAGATTGTGTGGGTTGGGGTTTAGCCAGTGCGACATTAAGGGTTTGAGCGGTATGGTGTTATGAGTCTCTTCGGTTGCCCGAAAGGATGTGGAGAGGTGATCTTGTTTTTTTGTTTTTTTAGTCTAATAATTCTTAAGAGCTCTTTAGGAGTTTGATGTGTTTCGTATATTAATTTTTGACTTTCAATATAGATTTACCATTTCTGCTCTTACAAGGTGGATGGCTGCTTTGTACTTTGTTATGTTTCATCAATAATTGCTATTGTTTTTTATTTATAAAAAAAACTTTAATATTTTCAACCCATATTTTTATAGGTGTTTTTTTCTCTATTTTTTAAATTTTTTCAAAATGAAGTGTGATTTTTTTATTATTTAAAATTAGCGATAATATATTATTGATGAACAAACAAAAGTACAAAGCAACTATGTGCTGAATATGGGTAAATAGTCTCTGGTGACCAAACACAAAAGCATGTTGAATTGATTTAAAGATAATCACGCACAACCGAAACAATGATTAAATCCCCAATCCAACAACCAAAAGCACATGTACTCATACCTATAATACAAATCAGCCACGCAATGGCAGAAATGGCAAATCCGTATCGAAAGCCAAAAGCTAAAAAGAAATAAAAATTCTAAATAGAAAACAAATCACAGCAAACTCTTAAAGAGTTTCTGAAAATTATTAGTCCAAAACAAAACTAAGAAACAAGACCACTGCTCCACACCTTCCGGGCAATCCGAAGAAAATCATAGCGTCATACCGGCTAAACCCATAGTTCCGCACTGGCTAAACTCGGACTCAACGCAACTAGACATCTTCCCATCCTTAGAGCTCCAAACTATGTTGAATGGAGTCAGCTCTTTGTGTACGTGGGCCAAAATACGGTGACTATATCATGGCGACAACATCATTTCACGGCGACTACTTCCACATCACAAAATAAACTAACAATCTTGAGGGAAAAGAGAGAGGAAGAGGCAGGGAAAGAGACCGAGGAGTGGCGACGGCTAAGAGAGTGTTTAGAAATCTAGTTTTTTAAATTATTTTAAATTATAGGGAATGAAATTCGAACTATTTTTATTTGTATTTTTTTTTATCGAACCTAGTTAACCCTCGCCTGGGATAGAAAAGATTTCTATCCATACCCCTTGCTTGTTTGGTCTTATTAACTATAATTAATGGGTTGCACAAGGAACGCAATATGTCTGGCTGGCTGTCTGCGCCACTGAAGAAGTTTTGGGGAGCAAATAACTGAAAGAGATGTTCGGAAAAGAAAAAAAAACTGAAAGAGATGTTGGTATGTATACAAAAATGGCAGAATCAAAAATGGTTGCAGTTGTAGAACAAGGTCTTTGTCTTGCACCACCTATAAATAGCCCAACTATAATAAAACAACGTGGCAATACTTTTGTCAGAAAATGACACAAGAAAATAGACCCGACCCCCTCTCTTTTCTTCTTTTCATTCATGGCAAGATATTCCATTCCTCTTTAGCACAAGCTTACTAAAGTTTAATTAATTTTTTTTAATTTTTTTAATTTTATACAAACGATGTTGAAAGAGAAGTATTTTTTAAATTTTTTTAATTTTATACAAACGATGTTGAAAGAGAAGTAATCGTATATAAGACTTCGCGTGCATATATAATTTTTTTAATATTGTAAGGTGATATTATCAGCTGACATAATATGTCATCATTTTTTCAATATAAGTGTAATTAATTAATTAATTAATCAATATTATGCACCAAATAAATGAATAATAAAAACAAGGTGAAAAACACCATCCAGCACCAGGCAGGCAGCAGATAAAAACTTCCCTCTCTTTTCACACACTAACACGGAGCATTTTAGCAGGCAAATAGCAAATAGCAAATACCAAACCACTCTCTCTCTCTCTCTCTCTCTCTCTAATTTTCTTGATTGATGCGCATACTCTTCCCCCCAAACCCAATCAAAACCCCAGCTCTCTTCAATTCCATCCTCCGTCTGCGATTCAACTCGCTCCGATCCCACTGTTTCAACTCAATGGCCATACCTCCTCCGAAGTCAGCCATGGCTTCTGCTGTCGACAACGAGGTGGGTCTTGCTCGCCGCTTCTGGATCAAATTCCACCGAGAATCGGTTTTCGCTATGTACACTCCCTTCTCGCTCTCTTTGGCTTCCGGGAATCTCAAGATTGAAACTTTCCGCCATTATATTGCCCAAGATGTTCACTTTCTCAAGGCCTTCGCTCATGCGTGAGTTGTTGCTTTCTTTAATTCATTTTCTTTTTTCTTTATACGAGTTTCGTTGGGTATATTTTTCTGTTGGGGTTTTTGGGACTGTTTGGTTGCTGGGAAAATGCTGTGATTGAATCTGAATCGGAATCTGAATCTGGGGTTTGCTTTTTTTTTTTTAATCACTGCAAGTGTTTGAGCAAATAAGGATTAAACTTTGCCTTTGTTAATATGTCTATTTATCTTTAAGCGTATTTGGTTCCAGAAAAAAGTATAGCTCAGAGTACTTATTGTAATTCTTAGACTTTTTTGTTGTTGTTGTTGTTGTCAATTTGGAAAATTTGGTTCCATTTATTAAACATTTTTTAAAGTTAGATTACAGTTTTTAGCAACAAAAAATAAAGTTTCATGAATTGCTTGAAATTGCATATTGGTAGTTTTACCTTAACACAAGTATAAAGGTTTGGCGAATGCTCGTGCTTTCATTGTTGTGGTCTGTTTGATTTTGGGGAAAATATGGGAAAATAAAGGAATTTGGATTGTGAATGTAGAGGTTTAATCAATAGGAGGAAAGGATATGTGGTTTGATGAAAACTTGGTATCTACTATATATTTGCCAAGACAGAGTTCTTGATTTTTCATTGTATGGATTTTACCTCTGTTTCCTTTTCTTTGCATAATCTTAGCCAAAAGGCCAAGTAAGGTATTCTTTTCTTTTTATATGTTCTTGACTTCTTGGTCTCTTTGGTTGCTGAGGAAACATAGGAAATGACAAAGAATAACCACATGCGTCTTAGACACTTTTTATTGTTTAGTAATATGACATTTATTCTTCTATGCACCTTTCCATTCTTCGCCTTGGTATTTACACTAGGTCACCTTTTTTGTAATTTATTTTCATAATATGTCGTAATTTTTTTTTTTTTAATAAAAATTTTCCCTTAAAAGTCTACCAGAAGATGAGCTAGGATTTTCAACTGAAGGGTTGTTTGGTTGCTCAGAAAAGG